TGATTCCTCTGGCTACTGTTTCCAGAACTATATTGCATAGGAGTGGTGATAATGGACATCCTTGTCTTGTTCCTGATTTTAAAGTAAAAGCTTTCATTTTTGTCCATTTAGTAAAATGTTGGCTGTTGGTTTGTCATAGATAGCCTTTATAGGATTGAGTTAGACACCATGTGTTCCGAGTTTCTGAAGGGTTTTTATCATGAACATGTGTTGAACTTTATTGAAAGCTTTCTCTGCATCTATTGAGATGACCGTGTGGTTTTTGTTTTTGGCTCTGTTGATGTGGTATATTACATTTATTGATTTGCATATGTTAAAGCTTCCCTGCAATACTGGAATGAATCTTAGTTGGTCATGATGTAAAGTCTTCTTGATGATTTGCTGCATTCTATTTACCAGTATTTTATTGAGACTCTTTGCATCAATGTTTATTAGTGAGATTGCCCTATAGTTCTCCTTTTTGGTTGGGTCTTTCTCTGGTTTTGGTATGAGAGTGATACTTGCCTCCAGGAATGAGATAGGGAGGATTGTTTCCTTTTCAATTTAAGAGTTTAAGGAGTATTGGTATCAAATATTCTCTAAATTTCTTGTAGAATTAAGCCATGAATCCATCAGGACCTGGGGTTTTTTTGTTGGTAAGATTTTAGTTATGTTTTCCATTCAGTAGCTGGTATTGGGTCATTTAAAATTGCTATATTTTCTTGGCTGAGCTTTGGTAGTTCATATGTTTCTACTAACCTGTCCATCTACTCTGTGTTTTCCACTCTTATGTGAGTAGAGATTTTCAAAGTAGGTATTGATGATCTTTTGAAATTCCAGGGGATCTGTAGTAATTTTCCTGTTTTCAGTCCTTATTGCATGAATTTGGGTATTTTTCTTTCCTTTTTTTTTTTTTTATGAGGTTAGCTAGAGGTTTGTAATTTTGTTTATTCTCTCAAAAAATAGTTTTGATTCATTAATTCTTTGTATATTTTTTAGTTGCAATTGCCTTGAATTCTGCTCTAATCTTTACAACTTCCTCTCTTCGATAAGCTTTAGGTTTAACTTAGCTCTTTTTCTAGAAGCTTGTGGTGAAGCATTAGGTTGTTTTTGCTTTTTCTGTTTTCTTGATATGACAATTTGTTGCTATATATTTCCCTCTTAAGACCGCTTTCATTGCATCCCACAGGTTACAGTATGTTGTTTCCACATTTTCATTGAATTGTAAGTATTGCTTTATTTCTTCTTTAATTTCATCTGTAGCCCACTGGTTGTTCAAAAGATTGTTGTTTAATTTCCATGTATTTACTCAGGTTTTGTAATTTTTTTGTCATTAATTTCTAATTTCAGTGCACTATGGTCAGATAGTATGCATGGGATAATTTCAGTAGCTTTACAGGTACTTAAGCATGTTTTATGGGATAATATATGGTATATTTTGGGGAATGTCCCATGCACAGCTGAGAAAAATGTGTATTCTGAGGTGGTTGGGTGGAACACTCTGTAAACATTCACTAAGTTCAATTGCTTGCAGGTATGATTTAGTTCTATTATTTCTTTGCAGACTTTTTGTCTAGTTTATCTTTTTGTGATAATGGGCTGTTAAGGTCCCCTGTTATAATTGTGTTCTTGTGTATTTGGTTTTATATATCCATTAGTATCTGTGTTATATAGTTGGGTGCTCCTGTATTTAGTGCTTATATATTTATAATTGTTAGTTCTTCCTCTTGAATTTTTCCACTGAGTATGTAGTGACCTTCTTTATCTCTTTTAATCATTTTACGTTTGATGTTCATATTGTCTGCAAAGCCCTGCTTTTTCCTGGGTTCCTGTTGCATGGAATACTGTTTTCCATCCTTTGACCTTTAATCTATGAGTTTCCTTTTTGGTCAGATGTGTTTCTTGTATGCATAATATTGTGGGATCATGTTACTTGATCCATTCTGTCAGCCTATTTCTTTTAATAGGTGAATTGAGGCCATTTACATTTATGGATATAACCGATATGTACTGGCTCGACTTTGCCATATTATGTTCCAGTTGTTTGCTTTCTGCTTTTTTCCTCCTTGTTTAATTGCTTGTCCTACCTGGTGGTTTCTTTCTATTGTTGTTTTGGGGATTGTGGTCATTTTTATCCCTATCTAGTATGTCTTTCAATATTCTTTTTAGGATTGGCTTGGTGGACATGAATTTCTTCAGTTGTTCTTTGTCATGGAAGTATCTTGTTTCTCCATTAAATTTGAATGACGGTTTTGTTGGGTACATCAGTCTGGGTTGAAAATTGTTTTCTTTCAGGGCTTGAAATACCTCACTCCAAGCTCGTCTTGACTTGAGGTTTTGTGCTGAAAAGTCTGCTGTGATTCTAATGGGCTTTCCTTGATAGGTGAGTTGTGTCTTTTCTCTAACAGCTTTTAGAATTCTGTTTTTATGCTATATGTCTGAGACCTCAATTGTTATATGTCTGGATGTAGATTTATGTTGGTTGTGACTGTTTGGCACTCTATATGCCTCACTTATCTGCCTATCAGATTTTTCCCCATGTTTGGGAAATTTTCTTCTATTCTGTAAATATTTTGGTTATGTCATTTGCATTGACTCCTGCAGCTTTTAATGCCTATTAATATCATGTTTTTTCTCTTGGCATCATCGTGAGACTGCTGGATTATTACTTCATGCTGCTTTATTATTTTTAAAAGTTCTATCCTTTCATGATCACTAATTGTCATCCTGTCCTCAACGTCCAAAATCCTATCCTCAGCTTCATTTAAATTATTTTGCCACCTTTGAATAGAATTTTTTGTTTCTTGGATTGTCTCTTAGTCTGGAACTTCCTAGTCAGCTATGGTACAGTATGGAAAATAGCCAACCAGCTCAGACCTAAGCAGGAGCGAAGGAAAACCGAGACTCAGGTCAGCTCTGTCCTTAATCTCTGATCACATGAGCCAAACATTTCTAGGTTCCCTTTAAATCAGACTGTGTTGCATTTTTCTTTCTAGTACCAATGTTATCCTGGAATTGACTCAGATCGGTAGGTAAGAACAAGTTGTTAAAATTTACAGGAATTTTCCACACCAGCTGATACCACATTGGCATCTGAAATTGAGCATTGTGGAAATATGCCCTCCTTGGTTAAATGGCAAAAGCTACAATTCAGGACTGTTGTTTTTAATCTTTTTTGTTTTTAACTTCATGGGGAAAAGATCCTGCTGTTAAACAGTTCCATACCGAAGAGTTGTGAAAATGTGTGGACATACATAAAAATATTCACCTTTACATTATTTATGATAGACAAAATTAGAACCAACCCAAGTGTCCATGCTTGATAAATGGATAAGTAAAATATGATATATCCATACAATGGAATGTTTTTTGTCTATGAAAAAACCATGAGATACCATTATGTACAACAGCACTGATGAACATTGAGAAGATAATTGAAATCATTAATGAGGCTCATATATTGAATGAATCCATTTGTATAAAATATCAAGAAGACAAATCTATAGAAACAAGAAATGTATTAGTGGCTGACTATTGGGAGTTTAGGAAAAAATGATAAGTAACTGCAATGTGATTCTACTGTTTGTTTTGAATTTTCAGCAACAAGTTTTCTTTGCAGATAAAGACAAATAATGGGAGCCTATTGAGAGTAACTAAATGCTTTATTTTTAAAGTAATTTTTTCTTCTGTTTATCACTCATATTGTCTTTTCACTGATGTTATGAGAATTTTTCCTGAGAATGAAAAGATATAAGAAAGAAAATTTTCAAGAAATCTACTGCACTCTACCATTAATTTATGATCATTCTATCATGGACCCAATGGCACTTTTTCCTAATACCCCATCTGTTAGTTTTCTATTACTGTAACAAATTATTATAAATTACATGGACTCAGCTGATTTCCTGTTTACTAGCCAGTTTTTTCCATAGGTGCCTAGTTTGACACAGAAGTCTTTTACATAAAATTAAAATGTTTGTAGAGCTTTGTCCCTTCTGGAGACTTATCTTCCAAGTTTCTTGAAACCATCTGTAGTTTTTGGCTCATGTCCTCCTTCCTCTATGTATTATAAACTGAAAATGCATTTATTATACTCGCCACACAGAACACCATAGTTAGCCAGACAGAACACTGTGAAGTACTGGCTGTTGACACTTTGAAAGACTGAGAGTCAAGGCTCACTGCCTCTGCCCTCACTGAAAGACAGTATCTACATCATTGACCTGGGTCAAGATCGAAGTTTGAAGTATGGTTTTTACTGAATGTCTATATTGTGCTGCCTTGATTCACGAACTTACTTTGTCCCAGTTTTGGAAAAGATGGCCATGTTATGTTATGTGTTACGTTTATGTGATCGTGTTTGTCACCTCAGTGTGCAAACAAAACCACGATTTTGTTAAACACTTTTTTTATTTAAAGAAAAAAAAAAACAGAAAAGGTAGAAATAATACATAATTTCAAAAAAACAGTAAGAAATCACTAGTTCATAATTACATATTGTCCTCTTACAAACAGTTGTTCAAGTTACAAAAGTGAAGCATACAAAATGGACATTCAAACAGCGAGACTGCAAACAGTTCTGAACAGTTCTGAACTATCCAACAAAAACTTAGTAATATGGCTATCAATCCTATACACTTAAGCATACATGCAGTTATATCCTTTAGAGCACTTTGTCAAACACTTTTGTTTGTGACCTAAATCATTTACAAGCAAAAGCGTTCATGAACTGAAGCAGTGTATTGCCTCTATATCATCATAAAGTTGAACTATCACAGGTAGGGATCTCCTGTATCCAAAATTTGTGAGATACCAAGCTGCAATTACAATGTTTAAAATCTATAAAGTAGATATTTTTCCTGAATTGTAGGTAACATTTTGATATTCATTATAAGTTGATTCAAAACTCTTTCCAGAAATAAGAGATACATTTTAACAAAATATGTGACTAATTAGTAGGGAAATGACATGTCATTAAATATACTCAATGAATACACTGAAATGCTGTATTTTTGCTGTAGATACCACTTTGCAGAAAGACAGTCAGGAAGGAATTCCATCTCCGAGCCAGAGTCAGGAGCCTTTGAAACCTCAGGAGAATATATCACGACCCATTCACCATCCTTTAGTTTTAAAAACGAACTTTGAGGACGAAGAGGAGGACGAAGAGGAACAAAAAGGTTATTAAACATTTTCTGAGATTACAATGAACATTATTTTACATATATTTACATGTTAGTGGTTTGTGATATATGACATATTTTCATGAGAAAATAATTTTATTTTTATTGAATAAATGCAATCAGTATATGCTGATGATCATTTGGATTGAAAAACTAAATTTATATGATGGCTGGGAGGCAGAACTCAGGTTTAAATATGCACAATGCTCGTAGATGTATTAATAAGCTCTTATTTATATTTAACAACAGTCATAAAGCACAGTGATATCCGTGCATGTTTATGCATTTATTAATAATGTATTTGTCATACACTTAACCATTAGATTTATAAAAGTTTGTAAAGTAATTTCTAATATATAATCCATGCTTGTCTACATTATCGCTGGTAACCCTTCCAGGAGTACTAACAGGGGTAGGACCCAGGCTTCCTGCCTTTTAGTTTGTCCTTCTCCTCCTGCATGATGACATCATGGTAGTGATGTGTACACATACAAGGTAGATATGCAGAAAGAATAAACTGTCACTTTCTTGGCCCTAGAGTATGTTTTCTATATGGCAAAGATCCATAAAGTTCCTGTGCTTGGGAAAACACAAAAGTATTTGTTAGTATTTTCAATCTAATGTAGTTCCACATTTCTCTTTTTGGTGTCCTGCTCCACAGGCTCCCTCAGGATGCAAGTCTGTGCCTCCAATTTATCATTATAGGATTCATTTCATATAGTCACTTTTTCTTTTAACTGATTCTAATACTTAACATGATAACAATTAGAAACACATACTCATTATAAATGTTTTGATTTTAAATAATTAAAAATGAATCATCTATTCATAAAAACTCTTTGGGACTTGTTTCTTTCTGATTTACAAATTTTCAGATTATTTCGATTTGGGACAATATAATTTAAAAAAAATATGTCCTATAGATGCTTCTAGTTTGTGGACAAAGACTCCTGAAGAGATTGAAGAGAAAAGAGTAATAAAGGAGATGTGCTATAAATCTGGTAAGAACTCAAACACTTGCAAATTTTCTAATAATTGATGTGACGTATACTTCATGCGATATATACTAACCATTCTTTCCTTATGGGACATATAGGCGAATACTATAGATTTCATACTCCTGCAGATACTTCATCATCAAAAAGCACAGCTCCTGCAGTAGAAAAAGAGCTAGAAAAGCCTTTGGAAAATGGCAGCGAATTGCAAGAAGGTAAAAAATGAAAATGCATTATCTGAAGTGGTGTAGAAGAGACACTTGATGTGATATGCTGTGAATTATTTAGTACAGTGTACTCTAGAGCAGTATTAAGTGATAAATAATACATTGGATTTAAAAGAAAGAAGGCAGTGTTTCAAATTTCCTGTGAAAATCTGCTATTAATGTAAAGATGTGTTCTTCTAGGAGCTAGGGAACAAATAGACTTCATAAACCTATGGTGGCACTATACACCCCATCCAATAATTCTGTACATAATTTGGTTTTGTCACTTTATTTATTTATGAAATAGATGTTTATGTGAAATAGGTCAAGAGTTTTATTTCTAAACATAAAAGATAATGTAGCCCAAAAGGGCAAATGGGAGAGCACTGAATAACATTAATAGTAGAACAAAGGTGGATTTGCTGACTGAACAACTGAGTGTCTTCTGCATACTAGGCAATTTCAGGGCTCTGTCTTTCTTACAAGGTGCATTTTCTTGGCACGCTGGATTTTGCTGATTCTGGTAAACAATTTACCTTTTAGGCAAGATGAAAAGGGCATTCTGGGTGGCAGCAACAGACCTTCGGAATGTGAGCACTGTCTGACCACCTGGGTGCTAACTTCACGGTGGAGCAGAGGCAAGGCCACACTATTCAGACAAGGGACAAACAACAGAAGTTACCAGCAAACGCTAAACACGAAAGCTTAGCCAGCCAGCCATTTATATTGCTTTGTATTATGGTTTCAAAAGCTTATTTGTAGTTTCAGTCAATCCCTGACATCCCTCACCTAGGCTCCCAAATGTTAGCATTTTATCATTTGAATTTTCATTCTCTAAATATGCTTGTTGCTGTTACTACTTTCTGAACTGTTTGAGCATGCGAGAGTATGATGCTCCTTTCCTCTAACATTCCTATTGTATACATATCAAAATTAGGAAATTACTCTGATAAATTATTTACAGTTCCTCCCCTATATTTTATCAATTATGCTGTTAATGTCCTTTATCGCAAAACAAAACAAAATCCTTCTTTTTACTTGTGTAGATTCAAGCCACTACCATATATTACATTATGTTCACATATAATTTTTTCTATTTTTGACAATATATTTTAGGAAAAGTTATTTAGAGATGTATAAGGAAAATTGGCAGAACAATGTAATTATCATGATATAATTAGAATTTTGTAATTAATAGTGAATCTAATACTTTTAACTTTATTGTTCATGGTAAATAGATAAGAACCAGAAATAGTGTAAAATTCACTACATGAAAAATAAAGCTATGTAATATATACAAATAGTTTTAGATTACTTAATTTTTTCAAGTTGCATTTGATTATAACCTAAACAGGACAATACACTTGCTTGCTTTGCTGATAATGGTAAAAGTTTGCTTAAAATTAATGTTTTGATATATTGTTTATCAGGTTACTATGGACATTTTTTATTTATTTTTAAGCTAGCTGCTTTCATTATGTTCTTGATGAAGCTTTTAATGATTCCTAGGGTGACCTTTATTTCTTTTCCTCCTAATTTCTAGGAGATGGACTTACAATTACAACAAAATTTAGCCTCACTGAAAGGCAAAGTGAAACAAAAATATCATTGGATGGGAAACCAAGGACTGACATTGCTGCTTTTGAAAATGGAGGTGGGTTAATTTACGACAGAGACAGACAGACCGACAGACAGGATTCTTACTCCCAGTAACTATATTCTATATAGTTGATACGAGTCTACTTTAACAAATACTGAACCATTTTTCCCAAGGCAAATTTGTACACACAAGTACATGCACACACACACACACACACACACACACGCACACACACACGCACACACACATACATCTCTTCTCATAAACTAAAACCTTAAATCATAGGAATTGCTCATCTTGGTGGAGTTTATTTTATTTTATAAAGGAAAACAAGGTACAGATGAATTATATGACTTCTGAGGCTGTTGGACTAACAGATCAGAGCTGGGCATCCAACGCTTTCCTGTGGCTTCAGAGCGGGAGCTTTTGCCCTGTGCCTCACTGCCTCACTGTTGCCATACGCTGGTCATCTCTGCAGGAAAATTGGGGCAGAACTGTTGAACCTTTCACATTGTTGGACCTCAACTAGTAATGTGTGGGTCCAGTAACTTAAGTGTTTCTTTACTATGTCGCATAGGTTTATGCAAAACCATAAATCATCGGGAGTTTGAGGTTTGATGGACGTTGTTTCTAGTTCGTGAATATTGTGTATATTTTAGTACAGGTTTGCTTCCTTCTTTGGAATAAGCTTGCTGTGTCTTTGACAGTCTTTAGTATTTTCTGTCCTAATTTTAGGCTTTCTACTGAATGGCTCGTGGTATCTTACTGTAACTTCAATTTGTATTTTACTGATAATAATGTTGAACACATCTTCATTAGCTTATTGGCCATTTTGATTTCCTATTTCCTTGAGTTCTGTTTTTAGGTATTCAGTATACTTAAAATTATCTTTTTCTTACTAATTCCTCCAAGCTGCTATCCTGCTAATTCTCCTTGTTTCTGCCTTTGACTCCATGTATTAAATTATTAATTGTATTTGACGCTTTTTGTGTATTTCTACCTTAAATTATGTATTGGTACTTTATTTTGATATCAGTCATGTTATTTGTCTGACTTCTTATTGGCAAATACATGGACCTTTTTTTAGTTTTCCTTTTTTGTACCAGGAATGTAACTTAGGTCCTAGCACTTACCAGGAAGGTACTTATGCCACTGAGCTACAGCCCTGGCCCATTTCCCATTTTTAAATCAATTGTTCTGTTTTAATTATATATTTTTCATTATATGTTGGACATTGTGGATGAAAAATCTTCCAATGCACAAATGAAGTTGTTTTTTCTATGGGGAAACTTTTCTTTTGGTAGGCAACTAGAATTTCAGAAGGCTATCTTGGTTTAATCAAAGGTTGGTTTTTAAGCTTTAGTAGGAATGCTGTAGTAGATCATACATTACTTGCTGTTTCTCTTGAAATATAGTCTTTATTCTGAAAACAAGGCCCTTACTCCTGAAACATTACCTTTCTGGGTTTTCAACCAAAAGGCTGGGTATGTGCCAAGATTTATTTTTTTTTACCAGGGGGTGCCTTAACTCTAAATTTTACCTTCCAAGCAGTATGCAGGTACAGAAATCTCTGATTAGTGTTTTGCATCCTGGATTCTCTTTTAACTGATTTCCAGATGTCCCATATTGTGCACAGAAGTGTGAAATCAGGCATCAACTTAGACCTTATGTATATTTTAGGGAAACTTGTTCATTATTTCTTCTTTCAGATTTAACCCTCCAGTTCAAGCCCAAACTTAGGCCCAAATTTCGGGCTCTTTATTTTGGTTGGCTGGTCACTTTCAACTTGGGATGCATTTCTTTGCCAGGTGGATTAGACATGATTTTATGGAAAAGTTGTGTTGAATGTGAAGTTTAACTCACTGATGGAAAAAAGCCAGAGTGGATGTGGGTGTGGAATTGACTGATGTGCTCTCAAACATCACAGTCCTATGCATGGTTTTCCAATCACTTTAAGGGTTTTTTTTACTTGTTTTTGGCTAGAAATGAGCCATTTAGTAATAGAAGAAAACACATTATTTGATTATAGCAGAAAGCAAGGCTTTTTGAATTTTTGATAGTTGGTTTCATGTATGTTTCATTAGCCAGGAATCAAATATAATGAATTCTTATAGATAAATTTCTATGGTAGAAGGCCCAGCACATGTTGTGCATTGAATCAATGTTTGAAGAATAAATAATCGTATATTTAAATGTACTTAATAAGTGGGTGAATGGAAACATGTTTGTAAAATTTATAGAAACCAGAAGCTAATATGCAGGAACAATACGCCAGATATATCGAGGTGAACAAATAGTGGTAAACATAAATTCTCACCTTTCTGTACAGACAGTGATGTCTTTTCTTCAGATCAAGAGAATCTGACACGATCTATAATTTATGGGAAGGGGATGTGCTTTTTGAGATATTTTATTTTGGAACAATTAATTAGTAGTTTTCACTACCAAATAAGTAAGGTTAATGCAAACTGAATTATTAGGGATAGCGTAAGAAGATAATCAAATGTGCTGAGTCTCTTAAAGTACTCAGCGGAGGATCTGGCACATAGAAAAATGCTACATAAATATTAATTTTTATGTTCTGATTTATTCACAAGTTAGTGCACCTTTTGGTGTTATTTTAAAAGGTCATTTGAAACAAACATATCTATTAAGAAAGCTCAGGTTGGTATAAGCGAAGTTTCTGAAAATTCTGTGCATAAGTAGTATTTAAAGCAGTTATGGATAGTTAGTCTGAAAAAAGCAACCCTTAAGAAACATGAAATCTGCTTTCGTAGATCTGGAAATTTTATTTGGAAGATAAATTACATTTACTTTGAGTCTTTCTAAAAGTGAATCTAAAACTGTTATAAGTTAATGTAAATATGAATATATGAATTCTTATAATTTTCTAGATGTATGTATACGGTATTCAAATACATATATATGATATGATTGAACATACAGTGAAAATTTAAATCATAAAAATTTTATTACCACTAATTTCCCTCAAAGCACTCCCCTTTGCTTCAGACATGCTCATGACATCATGCTTGCTACTGGAAATCCTTTCTTGTGAACATCTATAGTTACATTTCCTGGCTGCCCTGTTGTCCTGAATCAACTCAAAATAATCCTTTTATGGTCACTTGATTTGGGGGAAGATCTAGAATTTGTACAGCACCAGATTGAGTGAACAAGGTGGACAGGGACACATGGCATGTGCTTAGGAATCTGCCTTCCTTGTGGACAGTGCTCAGCAGCAATATTCTCTATACTTTTAATTACCTTGTAAAGACACGAAAGGCCCTTGGGTCACATGTGTTCAGAGTGTGGGCGAGTGCTTTGAGGGGGAGTAATGGCATTCTTTACTGTAAGTTCTGTTAAAAATTTAAATGTTCACTATATATCTTGCTCACCCCTTATATATGAATGTGCATGTATTAACCTATGAATTTCTGACATGTAGAGATAAGGATGGTATCACTGAGAAGTATTTAGACAAAAGCTGACAAGCAGGACATGGTAGAGGATGTTGATGTACTTCTGCTGTTGTTGCCACTGACCTTAAGGTTTTGTCATAGGAGGTGACTGCTCTGTTCCACAAAGGATTGTATTTCTTGAAATAGATGAAAACAAAGGTATAACTGAAGAAAAAGGGATCATCATGTCAAAATGCCCAAATACCAAAGGTAATGACTCGATCACATCATTTACCCATTTGTAATTTTGGATAGCTAAATCAAGCACAGAGCTTGCTTGCTATAGAAGCCAGAATAAGAGGGAAGGTAATAAATCAAACAGTACACTGGAAAAGATTCAGAAGCCTGAAGCTTCTGGTCCTGGCTTTGTTCCTGATTGTTTGGTTACAGGACATTCATATTTTCCTCCTCACTTTCTTAATCTGAAAAATCAGCCTGTTGGATTACATTATGTCTAGAGCCATTGTTAACTTTAAAGCTATTGGTTCTCTTAGGTGGTAATGACTTGTTATTACCACCTAATAACAAGTCATTTTCATTTTTCTTTTTCCAATTTAGAACCACTGAATTTTTTTAGAAAGCATTGTTTGGGAACACTGTGAAGATTATTAATCATGTGATGACTTCCTCTCTGTATGATCATGATACTGATAGTCTGTGAATAACCAAACATATGATAAAATATTTTCTTTATAGTTTTACTCTGCCCTATTGTGCCTGGATTCCCCAGCGAGTACATCTCTGTTGGTAACTTTCTCAATCTCAGACTAAAAGTACAGGTCTTTCTAAGAAAATGTAAGCTAGTTTTCTGGTTTATTTTTTCCCTCACCATTAAATATTCCCGAGGATATAAAAAGGCATTTGTGATCAAATTAAAGTTTTTTTCATTGAAAATTATATATCAAGTGCTGTTTCTTACTCAGAGATACAAAAGTTTTGTCCAACACATCAAGGAACTCATAAATACTATATTAATACTACGGCTACTAGCTCTGTATGACAGTTTATATTTGAGTTAATTAAAATTAAAAATTCAGTTTTCAGCTGCACTAAATCATGTACTGATTAGTGACATGTAGCTATCATATTATACAGCAATTGTAAAAGACCTTCACTGTTGTGGAAAGCTTATTGAATAGGCCTACTCCAAAGCTTACAGCAAATCAAAACGGTTACAGTTAAAGTTTTGGGGAAACTCACTTTAAAAGGGCCCTCTCGATATAACATTCATAACTTAATTCTTTTGCAAGAAGATATTTTAAAAAATTGATGTAAGGATGTCTTTTATCTATTAAAGATAATGACTGGTCGTTGCACTTTAAAGTTTTATCAGTGATGTATAAAGCAAACACGACATATAAGAAATTTTAATGACGTTTTCTAAAATAGGCAGATATATATTGAAGAGGTGTACTGGATTATGTAATGTTCAAAAAGTAAAATTCCAACTGAAATGCTTCTTCATGAATATTGACATTTTATTTTCTTAATTTGCCTTAAAAGATAACAAGGACAGTCCTCATCCAAAGCATTCCTTACCTACCCGACTATTACCTACCACTCATGTATTAAATGCTACCGAGAATATCAGTATGAAGTCCAGAGAGGACACCTCTTCAAGTGAGACTTAGCTCTATCACTTTTAGGCCTTGGATATATTTATCATGTCATGGATTTGTTTTGTTTATTTAAAATATAATTTTTAAAGAAGAAATAAAAGGGATGGCTTGAATATTATTCAGAACTAAGGATGAAGGACACGGTACTCTTTTGACAATGAACTGTGATGTAGTTCTAATAAATCATATCCACGAGTTTAATTTATATATTAAAACTAATGGTATATCATCTTGGAAGATTCACTAGTGTAGCATTTTAAATTTCACTCACAGTAGAATACATTTGTGACTTTTTCCAGTTACATTTTGTATTATTTTGTTGACGTGGAGTTTTGACATTCAGTACTTTGACCTAGCTACTTTAACTGATAAGTTAAGACTTTTGAATCTTCTGTATTCCTTCACACCTTCCTTCTGTTCCTTATTTTATTTATGGAGTTATAATATTCTTAGTTTTCAGCTAGGTACTGAAATGGCACCAGTGTGATTCCACAGAAGCTTGCGTTAGTGTGCTTGTTAAAGAATTGTTTCCCTACTCCTTGGGAGCTTGGGAGAAGAGATGAGTTTGTTATTTAAGCAAGGAGACAATGAATCAGAGCTTTATGCAGGGCTTAAAGCTTCAGCTGAGGTTCTGAGCTAAGATTAAGACAGATTTATTAGCCCAGTATGGAGAGCTAGTTCAGTCTGCGCAGTGCATTTGATTTTCATTTTCTTTGTGCAGTAGCTATTTGTGAGTGTCCATTATACTATATTGTTTTAAGAGTCTCTGGGAAAGCATACCATAGAAATTCTTGGAACACTGAGAATGCATATAGAAATTTTGATATAAAATATACAAGTAAAAACTAAAAATATTTATGAGTTTATGATGTCAACCCTTACAAATTCTGATTATTCAGTTTTACTTCTCCAAACTAATTGTATACTCAACTTATTAAGACATTAAGAAGGTCACTAAAATTCATTAAGGTATGTTAGTAAATTAGTTCAACTTAGTGAGTAGTACAAAATAATTTATGTTGAAAATAGTAATTATGAAATCACTTTGAAATACACTATAATGACATCTTTAATTATATTTGGGATATGATTTTATGTTCTATCAATAGAATTTCACAGATTCCTTTGGGCGAAAGCATTCTTTTTAGAAGAGCAACTTACTGCAAGTTTTATCAGTATGTTTTCAAGATAGATCATTCTGACACTTAACAATGAATAGTTCTTTGTTTAAAATGTATTGGAGTGGTACATTTTTTTCTCTTGCTTAACCTGTGAATGTACAGATGTGTAATTGTCACCTAGTAATTTTTAAATGAAAGCACCTCTTAAAAACTGTAAAAAATTGTATCTCCTTTAAGTGAATGATGTCCAGCCAGTGAAGAAGCCTCATTTTAAAGGTGTGAAAAAAAGAAAATGGATTTATGATGAACCAAAGAACTTTTCTGGCTCTGGAATGAGGAGAGGTAAAGTTTCCATGTGTTTTCATTTTGAATGGTAATTTGAAGAGATTAAATATCATAATATCTCCCTTCTATTTTTTTTTTTAAAGCAAAATCTTGCTATGTCCTTCAGGCTGGTCTTGAACTCACTGTGTAGTCCAAGTTGGCCTCAAGTTGTGACAATCCTCCTGCATCAGCTTCCTGAGTGCTAGGATTACAGGCATGTGCTACCATGCCTGGTTTAACTATCATATATTTTCTACTGAAAAAAATGACTATCCTGTAGCATAAAGGTTACTTTATGCAAACCCATTCCTCTAAGTCTAATTTACCTCTTTTAACTCACATTGTGTTTCACTGGGCTATCACGTCCTTACGGCACGATGTATCATCTATTGATGTGAAACCGGCTTGTTGTACTACATCTCACTCTCCCCACCCTTTCTTTGTTTTATAACAGTACAAACCCCAAATCCAAAAAATAAGATGAATTACCATCATCATAATAAAAACAGAAACGCCGAGAACGCATCCTATCTCCATGTCCGAAGAGAGGCCGTCAGGACCGTCCCGCTGAGTGCACCGCCCTGCAGCAGACCTGCCAATGGGTCCTGCCATAAAGCCGACGTTCACAAGGACCCCAAAATCAACGTCTGTCCAGGTGGGGCGCCTCCCTGGGGAGCTCCCTCTGGCCGGTGCGGGGCAGCCCTGGGTGCCCGATGCGCTGGCTGATCTTCTCTCCATCCTGCTTGCTTTTCCTGAGCCCCGCCAAGCGCGGTAAAATCTTCTGAACTAGATTAAAGAACCTGGAAGGAAGCTCCTGTCGGGTGCAGATGACTTGAAATCCTTCTCCCTAGAGTTTGACTCAGAGCATTGCACTTTGCTCCCTCTGGATAGTTTTATTTTGCCAGGAAGGATTGTGTTTCAACGACTGGCATTTCCTCTTTCAGTCATCACTGTCCAGCGGGACTTTGGTTTTTCTTTAGTCCTCGATGATTACTTTCTGAAAGGCTTAGTTTAGGTTTTAACTGCAGTATTTTCGACAGCCCTCATCTCTTGCCCCATACGCAAATTGTTCCTAAATCATTTCATCATGTAGCAGGTGAAGTCAATGCGAAGGGCAGGCAGGAGGCCACAAGGAAGAAGGGAGCCAACTCTCTTTTTATTCCCACTCAGATGAATTTTGCTCTCCTAAAGCTGGATTCCCTTTCTCTCAGCAAAGTGCCGTCCACTGCTGTATAATTTCACGTTTGTATCTTTCCACTGTCACTATGTCCTTCTTAGGGTCTTTAACAACTTAAATGGAAACCATATTTATTTAAATTATTTTTCTGTTTCTTAGGTGATACTGGCTTTTAGTTCCAGTTTTACTATTAACTATTGCTAAATTTGTTGTTATTTCTATTTTGGTACAATTAGATAGATGCAAAGAACGTGAGTGCTGGAGCGGTCTGTTGCTAGTGCCTAGATCTGTGTGAAAATGCCAGCAATTATATCTATGCTACTTTTGCATCATCCGTGCAAATAACAGCACATTCTCCGTATTGCTATAAACCATGCTTTGACCCACACTTGAAAATACAAGTCGTTACATAATGGTTGAAATAGAGAAATATTAGAGAGAATGTAGACCTTTAAGGACTGGGTCAGTGTATACATACTTTGTCTTTCTGGGACTGTAAATTCACTTTTGCAGAGTGCCCACTGTGATTATGGATGTTATTGCAATTAGAAGGAAACAGGACTTGCACTGTTGGCTCATGTGGCTCCCTCCAGTCATTAGTAAAACTGTATATTAAATTGTGTAAATCAATAGTGTGAAATATGTTATTTCATCTAGATATCATTCTGTTCTCTAGTTTAACCTCATGAGAGAGATCCTTATTTGAGGAATTAAAAAATCTGTAACCATGTTCATTGATCATTTAAAGGATTTTAAACTCACTTGTACCTCTTGATCGTTTTTCTTTAGCTAAATTAAATATTTAGAGAATAGATTTTCTGCTGAGGTGTTTACAACTTTGCTTTTGGAGTATGATTTGAAAGTTTTGAAATATTTAAAAGCAGTCTTCTTTTTTTCTCAGACAAATACGTGTCAACATCATATAATGGATCCGCCTGGAGAAAAAGAATTCCTTTTTCAAAAACATATTCAAAAACTGAAAAGATATATCCAGGTAAATATTTACTAGTGATTTTAATGTATCATGCACTTATAAAAATGCATAACTTTTTAAGCTCAAGGAACATATTTTAGAAAACATTAAAATATATATTCAATCATTTAGAGCTTACCAGTTGTTTTGTTTACTAGCAAGTTTCCTTTTATTTTTTCTCTTTCTATGTTTATGCATTGCCAGAAAACCTGTTCATACAATTATTTCCTTATAATTGATGTATAGTTGCATCAATTACATAATATGTTAAGATGAGATTTTTGCTGTACTATAGGGCAAATATATAAAACTATATTTTGACATAAATGAAATATTAGAATATTATAGTATGTGTTAGACAGCCATGGGTTGGCACAGGCTGACAGAGCATCAGGATGAATTGATTGGCCAGGAGCTGTCACATGACTGTACTCCTCCTCTCTTTGTACTTTGTGCTCTGGGATGCTATAGGATCCTGCACCCTCTTCAGAGCTGAGGTTTCAGGCGGTCTTTATTTCAGTTTGTTCTTGTTACTGAAACAGCCTTTAGGTCTTCTCTCAGCTCGTTTTGGGCTGGCTCAGTAAGTCTAGAAAATTAGATAAGATAAAATAATTTCAGTTACTTCTCCAATGACCCCTTTGGAAAAACTTGCATATATGGAGCTCTTAGCTAGATAAGTAACCTAGAACTTTCAGAATAGTGTGAAATCTATGAGCTCTTATACCAGAACTTCCCAGAAGGAACAAGAACACATCAAGACTAGTCATCTAGACTGAGTTCCCTTTTCCAAACAAACAGCCAGCATGAACTTCTTAAAATCATTTTGGCTGTAGCTATGCTTTAGCATCCAGACCCATGTACATATTAATATACTTGGAGACAGCTGGTTTCCTTTTTCTTTCATTTCTTCTTGAATCATTATTCTACTGTGTGTTAGTCAGTTTGTTTTGCTGGACAAAATGGTTGACACCAACAATTTAAAGGAGGGAAGGGGTTTTTGGCTCATGGTTTCAGAGGATGCAGTTCATGTTCGGGTGGCTCCAAGGCAGGTGTAGTGGAACAAAGAAAGTTAGCAAACAGGGGAAGAGCACCAGGGACCATACGTAGCATCCAAGATCAGCCTGTAATGCTCCAGCCCGACACACTCCGATGTGTGCTTTATAATACCTTAAGTATCTCCAACAACAGCTAGTTTAAAACTCCAAGTTAAAAGTCACTTAAAGATAATTTCTCTGCTACTCAAATTGACTATACTTTCAAACTTTGTATGGCTTTTTCCATGTAACTTCACTTAATTTAGGGTGAGAGAAAGAAGTTAAAAGTTGCTGAAAATTTTTAGATGAAACAAATTGTTGAACTATAGCTTTTTCCTTTATGATCGCCTTCTGAGCAGGGCGATGCTCGGGAATACTGAAGAATGCGCTCCATCCCTACCCTTGTCTTGGTGACTGCTCCTCTTCTTCAGTAGCAGTCTCTCCTTCCATCCCAGATAATTGAAAATGAATCATAGAAGCATTTGAGGAAGGTGAAACCAGCACTGCCTCTGTGTGCCATAGAATCTCTACATTTCCCAATGCCATCTAGGAAGAAAAACGTTGGAGATAATTTCTCAGTGTCATGTGGGCCAGGGGGAAGGCATGTGTCATTTTTGAGGGCCAAAGACAGCTTCTTAAAATTTCCAAGGGCCACGAGGTTGCATGGTGGGAGACATCATGCATTCTGATGAATCTCAAGCAGGAGGGAGTTCGTAGGAGAGAGGACCAGTGATTCTATATAAAACCTTCTGACTGAGACGGGAGAGATGAGAGGCAGAGAGGTGTTGTTGTTTTCAAAGTCTATTGGAGTATGTGAATGTGTGTGTGTTTCTTAGTTGTAATCTCAACAGATTACATCTGTCAGAGAAACATGACGCAAGGAAGCCAGAATCCACTGACTACACCCTTGTTAATGGATTCAGGACCCACAGTAATGATCTCACCTGGGAGCTTGTTAGAAATGTAGAATCTCTGTCAGAGCAGTTATATGAAAACCTTCACCTTAACATCCCCAGGTGGTCAGGATGCACATTAAAGTTTGGGGAACTTTATACTGACTTGTATGGGCTACCATTCAAAACCTAGGTGTGAAATCGGTTGAAATAATATTCTTTGCCTATCTATCACACAGCAGCAACATTTCCCCCGTGCCAATCCAAGCAGGGAGAAAACCCTGAGAAAAAAATCTTTAACTATGACGCAAATATGAACGTAAAGTGGCTAAGAAATAACTGGATTGCACTGAATTTATATGCAGAGGACCAGAAACATTTTCTATATCAGTAATAATGTTGACTTATAGTCAATAAATTACATAAGCACTATAATACGTTTACAAAATTATATAAACTATTTCATGATGTTTGTTTTTGATTGGGAAATAAGTAGCTCTCAAACTCACCCCTTTCAGTTGTTGTCACCTGGAAAATGAAGACAAGGTTAGTTTGCATTTCTTCCTTCACGTATTCCAACTAGAGCACAGAGTATGAATGCCAGCATTTCCCAGCGGACAGACTGAATGCTAGAAAAAGGGGAGAAAGTACAAAGTGCCACTAGAATCTCTACATTCTCCTAAGACTCTGGCAACTGAGGCCATGGATGTATAAGTGGGCAAAAGAATCCTTTCGGGAAAACGTTGTTGGATGTTATGAGAATGATGCCAAAGAGAGGAAAGTATTGAGTTTCTAAAGGTGACTTGGGAAGTTATTCTCATTGCCAGAGAGAGAGAAAGAAAGAGAGAGAGACAGAGAGAGAGGAGAGAAGAAGAGGGGAAGAGAGAACAAGGGGAGAGAGAGAGAGGAGGTGAGACAGAGAGGAGAAGGGAGAGAGACAAGAAAGAGAGAGAGGAAGAGGAAGAGAGAGAGAGACAGAGGAAAGAGAGAAGAGGAGGGCGGGGAGAGGAGAGGATGGAGAGGTGTCTGCCCTGCATGATGGAATTTTTACTGTGGCTGTCCCACAGTTCCAGACCCATATATAGAATTATTTCCATTCCTTTCCACCCCTCCATTGAAATACAGTAAGAAAGAGATGAAATTTGAATGATCTTTTGAAAATTTATGAATAAAACCAGTGAACATGGCTTTCGTTTTGCCTTAGATTTATGATAAGTAACTAGCAAAAGAAATATGACCTATTGATGCCATCCAAAAGGCTATAAAGGAAAATGAAATGTTTTTTTTTTATTATTATTAGAGCCAAGAAGAAATGGGAGCAAATAAACTTGGAGGTTGAGAGAAGAGAAAAGTGAGAAAAGAGAAAAGTGCCAGCCATCATCTGATTTACAATCAAAAATGAAAATTCAAAGAATGAGATATTCAAGTATTCCATACTGTATACTGGATAGCAAAGATGATAAAATGCAAATTCTGAAAATAAGATGCAGGAGGTACATTGTGCTCTTTCAAAACTGATAAAAATGCAAATTACAAACAGCTGCCTGTGTACTTATGTAAGTCTGGAATTCATTCAATGCATTACCACAAACATTTAATAAAATTTAAAACTTTGACAATTAAAATCATTCTTTAATCATAAACCAAGTAGATTATACAGATTGAGAAGTAAAACTGTGTTTTTGATGTCTGTTTTGCAATATTCATTCTGGAAGAAACACATTTTCTTTCTTTAGCTAGATTTTCAGGTGGACCCTCAGGAATGATAACACACAATATAAACAAATTCAGTGAAGTCCCAGGGTTGCAGTTTGATGATGAGCACATCAGACGAATTTCAATAGACTAATCTTTTTATTTGTTGGAGAGAGAGAGAGTTGGTTTATTATGCAGGGAGGTTACTGAACAATGTTTTATAATTGGCAACTACAAAATCTATCTGCTGAGATGCACAACATTCAAAAATGAGAAAAATAATTTTTCCGGTCTGAAAACAAAAATTATATGATCATAATTGATAAAATAGCAGCTTTTTTTGTAAAAATGTGAATTAATAACATCATGTCCTAAAAGCCTTAGTGAAATTTTAAGGCTTTAATAACTCTAGAAATGAACTATAAACTGCAACACAGAACTCACTTAAAGTTTATTTTTATTTCTTTTACACTTGTTTAAATTGCACATTTTGACTAATAATTTTTTTTAGTTTTTAAAATTTCAGTCAAAATTAAACATCTGCAGGATGACTGAAACAAACCTTGTCCCTCAAAGTGAAAAAACAAGTACGAAATTAACATGGAGATTTTTTCAAGTGATTATTTTTCTAAGTTTGTAGCGTTTATACTTCTTAATTAACTAAAACTTAGAACTTCACCATGATTTTGGTGATGTCTTTTATTTATATGTGCACGAAACACTATGGCAGGTAGTTTTATGTCAGTATTTGTGGGGGATGAGTATTCTCAGAAATATTTTATTTTAAAATATATTTTCATAGAATGCAGTTCCAATGTGTGGAATAATGAACCCCACTGTATGGCTTTTTATTTTCTGTGCTGGGGATTGAACTCAGGATTACTTTGTCACATCTCCTTTCTTTTTGAAAGTTTTTAATTTATTTCGAAGCAGGGTCTCATTAAATTGTCCAAACGGAACCCTACAGGCTTGTAGCCCTGTGCCTGGCATGTCTAGCTTTTAATGTTACTCCATCTCCTCACTTTCAGTAACATCAAGGTGTAGTCATTTTGTTTTTACATCAGAGTGGTAGAAATGGAGCCTATGCCAGCAAACATCTTGGGGAGATAGTCTGAGAGGTATGTAAGAAAACAGTGGAGGTGAAAAGCTACCTAGATGGAAGACAGTAGAAGAAATCGTGTAATTCCACTTAACAGCAGATTTATGTGCTTCTAAAACTTCAACTAGTGAAGATGAAAGTTTCTATGAAGGCAATTAAAACTATCTTGCTTGAAGTACAAGTTCGTAGCATGTGGCTTTATTGTATGCTCAAAGCTAAAGAATCATGAGGAAGGAGAAAACTCTAAAGAAAAGTCTGCATGATTGTACACATGCTCCTGAATAAGTGGAAATTTATTTTATCCAAAGGAATGAGTAGACAAAGACATTAACCACATTGTTTTGGTACTTGTGATTGGAAAAAAGGCAATTGGCTTAAATGGGGTTAAAGCATTATCCACAGAGGAAAATTTCAATGGCCAAAATAAGAAAAGATAGGAGTTAATAAAGTAGACCACCAAAATTTAATAAGCCAGCAACCATCTGTGTTTGCTGACTTTTGAGCAAATGAACAGAGCTTCTGAACTTAATTTTCAGGATGTTAGTGGAGGGTAGTTTCTTTGCTAGTATGTCTAAAAACATTTGATATAGTTTTTTTCCTCATTGTGCTCTTTTTGAAAACAGCAGTGATAAAATGATGATAAAAATAGCATTTACTAGATGCTTAGTATATTATTTGTTTATTGGAGCTGTTATAACAAAATGCCCCTTAGTGAGTTTCTTAAACAATTCAAATGTTGCTATACCATAGTGCTAATAACTAGAAGTATGTAATTAAGGTGCCAGCAGGGCTGTTTCATTTTTTAGGGATGTGAAAGAAGGTGTTCTAGGTCTCTTTTCTTGGTTCTCAGATGACCATCTTCTCCTCCTGTCCCCTTAACTCACCTTTCTTCTATGCGTCTCTGTGTTCAATTTTCTCTTTTAAAAAGAAGTCTTTGAACCACGTCCTATCCTGATGACCTCATTTTAACTTGGTTACTTCTGTAAAGACAGTGTCCAGAGAAGATCACATTCTGAAGGAGTAGGCACTAGGAACTAACAAAGAAATTTCAAGAAGTTTTCTGGGCAATTCTAGAGTAAGTCTTTTTTTTTTAATACCAGGGATCGAACTCAGGACCTTACACTTGCCAGGCAGGTACTTATGCCATTGAACTAAATCTCTGGCCCCTGAGTAAGTCTTAAAGACAAATTGACTCTGAAATTTAAATACTTCTGACTTTAAATCCCTTTTTAAGAAATGAAGTAGGTCTAGTATTTCTGGATTGCATGCAGTAGGAAGCAATTTGGTCCATCTTTAAACCATCTCTACAGTCCTTTTAACCCTTTAACTGAATAAATAGACTAATCAGTCCACAGTCCTTCATTTATGTATTCTGCAAAGTCTCAGGATATGGACAAAATGAAGACCAGGTTTATGTCAAAGTATTACATACATGATCTCTACCCTACCTGCCAATTTCAACTAAAAAATTCTGAGCCTGGCCTTTATTGTTTGCTTTCTTATCATCATCCTGGTCTTCTGAGCTAAAACTAAAATAACCCATCAAGTTTTGTTTACGCCATTCTAAGGCTTCTTTAGCACATATCTGCACAGCTTTCCAAACTCTTCCCACAAACCAGTTCCAAAGACTTGTAAACCACAAGTTCAGGTACAGTCATGATGATGACCCCACTTCTTGAGTACCAATTTTCTATATCAGGTAACTGTTTTGTTACTTGGGCAAACCATCTGACACAAAAGGAAGAGTGGTTTAATTTGGCTCACAGTTTTGAGGTTTCAGTCTGTGTTCAGCTGGTTTTAAGGCAGAAACAGAATTGTGGAAGGGCATGGTGGAGGAAGGCTAGCTCACTTTATAGGCACCAGGAATTACTAAGAACAGGGAGGAGTTGGACATGTATTATTCACCCCTTTTCCAACTTTGACCTATGAACCCATCGTTGGTTCAGTTACCTGGTAAATATTTCATCCCTGTAATTTGATCGCTTTCTAAAAGCTGCCTCTCTAAACACATGACATTTTGGGGAACATTCTTGACCTAAACCTTAATAGTGGAGTTAATACTGAAGGTGAATCTGTGACTGTCAAAGTTAATTTCACATAGGCATGGAGATCTGATTTCATTTGGGTTGGAGCAGCTATGTCTGCTGATGAAGATACATCAAAATTTAGAGGCTCAATGTTTCCAGAATTGTCAGGGTGTTTCCAGTTCAACTTTTAGAATCACATTCCTTTCTTAATAGTAGCATTAACAGTGCTAGCCTGAGGATTCAATTTGAGATTCTAGGTTTGGTTCCTGGAAATTTCACATTTGTGGTTACTGAACATGAGGGTACATTTTTAGGGAAGACATACTTTCAGGTAGTTTATGGTGTATTTGAGTTAGGGATTTGAATCCACAAGGTTATTTTTTTCCACTTTCCCCTCCCTGATTTATGGCATACTTGTTAATTTGACAGAAATATTTAATGACATTGTGTATGGTCACCCAGAGTCTGGCATCTTGTAAGTACTTGATTACTAGTACCTAATGGTGAAATTTCAAATATATCTCTAATGCCACATTATGCCACAAATTATCAGTATTTTCTTTGCTGCTGGAAACAGTCATTAGTGTTTTCAACCAGAATATGGAACCAAACCTAGAAACCCTAGGACCAGTTCAGAAAATGCATGCTTTAAACCACTTTTGGTTCTAAAAACTGTATTAATCAATATCAGAGAAACAGAACCAGTAAGATGTGTGTGTGAGTGTGTGTGTGTGTGTGTGTGTGTGTTTTAAACAATTGGCTTATATGATTGTGGATGCTTGATGAGTCCAAGATGTCATGAGGTAGAGCAGCAAGCTAAAGAATAAGAAAAGACATGCTATTTGATTCACAAGTGAACTACTGGAAAACTCTAAGAAGAGCCAATAGTACAGGTAGAGCATGAAGGTAATTTGGTGGAAATTTCCCTTTTGCCAGGGGGATCCTTTAGTCTCTTCAAATTTGCTTATTGGATGAAGCCAACCTGCATTATGGAGTGCAATCTGATTTATTCAGAGTTTATAAGTTTAAATGTAACTTCTACCATAGGAAAAGCCTGGATTATGTTTAAATCTCCAGGCGTTGTGGCCCAGCCAAGTTGACACACAGAATTAACCTCACACTGGATTTACCTGCACGACACAGGATATTTTAAGATCAGGTAACCAACACTTATTTCTCGTCGCCTACAACTAATCACATATTTATAGTTTCCAGTGATCAGGATGTAGACATGTTTGAGGAGCCATTTTGCTGCCTACCACAATTCTCCCAGATGCATAATAAAAATGATCATTGTTAACTATGTAACAGGCACTATACTAAATAAAATACAATATTTCAGTTCAGCAAATATTTCAGTTAGCAAAATTTTGCTTCCATTGTCAAACTCTGTATCAGGTGATAAACATGACCATGGTCACCTTCCCCACATAAACACAAGCACAGCTATCTTCCCCAAAATTGTGGGGCAAATTAAAGTTCATTAACAATGTCACTGTATAATTAAGTCCCGGTCCACAATCTATAAGCTAAAAATTAAAACTTTGTGTCTCTTAATCTTACTAAGTGGTCTTGTAGCTTGTAAGCAAAGGCAGCATGATACTGTCAGACCCATGGCTACAGGCCAAACCACTTCACTAGCTTGGTAAGAGTCTGACTTTAATCCTTTTGTTATAGCCTTGTTTACTACAAAACACCTTGGACCACTCTGGGCTGGAGATGTCAATCTCAGAGCTACGAAAATAAAACTTTTAAAGTTAC